ATAGTCACATCCCACATAGCACCCTCCTATAGTCCCCCCCCCAGCTGTAGCCCATATACTCTGTAACCTGTTACTGTCCACTGTGTTGTCTGCACCCCCAGCCATTCTCCAGTGCTTGTCCATCCGCTGAATCTAGTCAGCCTATCTAGAGTTCCTTGTTTTAGGAAGATCAGCTCTTCCTCATCTAGCAGCAGTTGCCAATATTCCTTTAGATAAGATTGGGGTCTGCTGTTCATTTTCCCAGTTCTATGCTGGGTTACTATCTGGGAGTCTCTTGGGCCACCTGGCCAACAACTCAAAGGAATGTTATCTCCTGTCTGGCATTGATTGTTTCTTGTTATGTAGCCTTTAGCTATACACATGGACTCTTAAAAGAATTATATTGATCCCTTGAATCTTTGGTTATACTTTCCTTTTGGGCATTTAAGACCACACAGTTGGCCTAGGTAAACCCATTTATTTTCACTCTTAAGGCCGTTTGAGGATCTGCTCCTCAGGGGTCACATGGGCCTGGGAGGAACCCCTGGCTTTCTTTTACCAGTTCCATCTATGTGAAGATAAGTCAAAGGTCCTGCTTGACTGTGGCTAGCTTCACGTGGAAGCATGGAGGAAATGTTTCCTCTGTGTTGACCATCCTCTTTGTAGACTGGATACTGGTTTAAGTCCATTTGGTGGGGTCTCCATGGCCTCCTTGAGAAGACAGGTGACGCACCACAGTTACAGGACATTTTGAGAGATGCTCATAGTCCCCTGGAGCTTAGTTGACTCAAGAGGGCAAGGAGCAAAAACTGTATGTCCCTCTGACCAAATTAGTATAGGCCTCAAAAGCACGCTTACCTATTTTTTAAATGCCCAAAAATATTAGAAATGGACTAGTGTATAGTTACAAGCACTCACTAATGTCCACCTAGTAAGTCCCCAACTATTATATCAACCAATGCTTCATTGAATGTTTCATTGAATCAAGATGTCAGTGTTAGAATCTGATCAGAACTTACAACTCTCAACAGTTTCACTGATGGATTTTACCAGTTTCTTGAGAGCCCTTTGTTCCATGCTGAGTGTGGCTTCAGCACCCAGTTGACTTCCACAGTCCATTCCCAGCTTAAGTATCCCAACTCCAATCCCAACACAGAATGTGGCCATGGCAACTTCCCAACAACTGACAGAAGGTTCTTAAGTAGTTGGGAAGATACATAAGCGGATGTTACCACTCAGTATATACACAATCATGTCATTAAGGTTATGTATGATCTGAAGATCTAGAGCAATTCCAACCTTTATCTTATCTTTGAGGCTAAACATCAAGTAAACAGTATTTCCTATTATTTTCATTTATAGTCCTTCAGCACAAAATAAAAACATTTTCCTCCCTATTTGAACATGTAACTAAGATTACCAAAGACCATATTTTTTGGATTGAAATAATTTCCCAAGCTATAAATAGTTCCTTCAAAGGCTGTAACCTGGTCTACCAAGCAGCCTCTCAAGAGATCCAAACAGCTTTAAACGTGGGAGTTTCTGGAATGTAAATACCCGTTTTCATGCTTCCAATTTAGATCTAACTGGTAGGAAAATATGGTGTGTCAAAGTCAAAGCTGGCCAAAATATCAATGTCCCAATTTATGACTTTTTTTTTTTTTTTTGGTGAAATCCTGAAGAACCAGTATCTTCTGGTCTCTGCTAGCCTTCACTGAGGTACCGTAGACAATGTAATATTCCTTTTTAGTTTTTTGTCTAAGTTTTCAATAAAATAAAAAACACCTTTTATAACAGTGCAGATACAACTGAAAACAAAAAACCAGAAACAACGAAGATTTCTTTAAACCTCGTTTACAAAAATACCTGAGGAATGCAACTACTTTTTTTTTTTGGTCTTTTTGAGACAGGGTCTCCCTGCAGCCCCAGCTGTCCTGGAACTATGTAGACCAGACTGGCCTTGAACTGACAAGAGATCCACCTGCCTCTGCCTCCCAAGTGCTGGGATTAAAGGTGTGCGCCACCACGCCCGGCTGCAACTACTTTTTAAGTTGAAATATGCAACTTTCTTGGGGGAAGCTGTCAGCTACGTCTGAAGAACAGCAGTTCACACTGGTTTTCCCTGAGAATGGCATATTGTTTATGTGAAATAATAGGATAGTATGGACACCTAGACTGAAGAAGTATCAATCTGTATTTTAGATATAATAAGCATACAATTTTTTTTTTTTTTTTGGTCTTTTTTGAGACAGGGTCTCCCTGTAGCCCCAGCTGTCCTGGAACTCGCTATGTAGACCAGGCTGTCCTTGAACTCACAGAGATCTGCCTGCCTCTGCCTCCTGAGTGCTGGGACTAAAGGCGTGCGCCACCATGCCCGGCTACAATATTCTTATAGTACTTAAAATACCTAAGGGTAACCAAAGGAATCCAAAAAAGGTGGTACTGTTAAAAAGCCAATTTTCCTATCCAGATACTCCTCACTTTCTGACAGTTAATACAATACCATTAATGCAAGAGACAGGTGTAAAATTACTCAAGACCGAAAAGGGTAGTTTTGGTGGAGAAGGGACAGTATGTTGTTATAGATTGTAATAACTATGGAATTAACATAAATTATATTACCCCATCAAATTATTTTTTTATACCTATTAGAAGACTGCAAAGGTTACCACCAAACAATGTGAAAGGTGTTTCCTAGTCAACAGAGTTTGAAAAAAAAAAAGCAACTTTCTGCCGAATTCCTTTCCCTCTTCTCCACTCTAATGGATGGTGGCTTCTAGAACATACCTGGCACATTCCAGTCTTCTCCAACTCACAGCAGCAAGTGACCCAGAAGTGTTTCTTCTTCATGAACCACCTTAAAATTTTTTCTTTTTGGTTATCAAATATCCCTCAGACTTTCTGATATTGTTTATTAGGAAATACTATGCAACTTTAAGCAAAAGTTTTAAGGAACTTCCCAAGAAATGTGTTATCACTAAAAACTTGAGGACATATTTACCACTAGGATTTTCAACTACTTGCAATCCAAAGGCAGATAAGAACCCAGCTATTTTTAAGTAAAATAGCTATTTATTCAGCCTCTTTTCATGCCAAAATGCTCTGTGCATATTCCACTATAATGAGCACACCCTCTGAAAACAGGCAAAATTGTACATCAAATTATATTTCATATTACCTGATTATATAAAAGTGTAGAATGAAAATGACTTATCAATTCCTTTGAACATTCCTAATAATTCAGTAGAGATATGAGGCACAAAATCTTAGTGAAACATGACATGGGAAGAGTAGTAATGTAGTTTTCAATCAACATTAACATGTCACCATCTGTTATTAATATACAAAGACAAGAGACTTTTAAAACATTATGTTTACTAAGATTCTGGTAATAGCTTTATGTAACAAGATACAGTATACCAGGCTTGCCACTCAACTTGTTTGTGGTAAGTGTCAGCTTCAATATGAAGCTGTTAAAAATGAAAACAAAAAGTCCTGCTTTTTACATGCTAAATATCTTGGCAAGTGTGCCATTTAACATAGTAATGAACTTAAGACAGCAAGAATAAGGAGTTAACAAAAGCTAAACGTTGCAGTCAGAACAAAACCCATACAAAAAATAAAGTAACTATCACTGGTTACATAAAAATTTCCTGACTGGTTAAAACTTTTAACAGTATAAAACATGCATTTTAGAATCTTTAGCTATCAAGTTCAAAAAGTACCAGTGTCTATTTGAAACAAGTCCTTTCAAAAGTATAGTTAAAATTCAAATGATATAACACAGCCTAAAGAACATTCAGTTATTATTGAAGTGGAGGTAAATTCCAGAGCTCTGGGGGCTTTCTCATGCTGCAAAGGGCTGTGTCTCTCTGGTTCACTCAAGGCAGCATACAACGAAGTCCATGGACGTCATTAACCTCAGTCAAGAGCCAGACTGATGGTGCCCAGCTCGGGCCTCCCAGGAAGCATGGCTACAGTGTCCACAAAGTGGGATGTGTGGGGATCAAAGGCACGCTGTTCTGCTAGCTACATAGCAGACCCCCTGAAAAGCTCCTTCCCCAGGGAAATAAAAGTTTACAAGGGGGAAAATTAAAATACATTTATCTACAGAGTAAGGATTTTGAAGTATTAGTGTAACCCCTACTTCAAAAATTTTACTAGAGCCATCTCATTGATTCTGATTACATCTTAAAGATGCGTCCAGGTTGAGTTTCTGTTGACTTATATTAGGTACTTCTAGTAAAAATATTAGCTTTATTCCAAACTTCTTAACCACTAGTATGACTGCAGTGTACTATCTCCCAGAGTTACCAAGCACTGGAGAAAAAGGTGTTCAAGCAACAGGCAACAACAATCATGGGCCTTTCACATGGCGGAATCTGAGCGGCTACCGAATAGTCCAGGAGTAATTCTAAAAACAAGGAAATTCATGCACGTTAGTAAGTATGTCAGCATTTTCACAGTTGAGATTTCCTTAGACATTGCACTCTCTCAGGAACCCTGGTGTTGATGTTATGGTGAGCCGGGACTTGAACTGGCGGCCTTCTTTTTCTTCTTCTTACTGTGTTTCTTATGCTTCTTCTTCTTCTTTGTTTTGTCCTGTAAGGGTAATTCCATGGTGGCATTACTACCATGCACATTGGAAAATGTGCAAAGCTACTACAAACAGCCCACAGAAGCAAGTGGACTAGAAAAACATTACTTGGAAAGTCTCAACAACCAGCACTATGAGGACTAGGAGTTCTTGTCCATCTCAAAGACAGACTCTAAGTCAATAGTATACTAGCATAGCTTCTAACAGAAATTTTTAAGAAAATAACTCATGCTATTAAGTGGTACATTTCTGTTATATAATTTCTTTTTTAAATATTTTTTATTTATTATTTTATGTGTGTATGTGCATTGCCTGTGTATAGTTAAGTACACCTGTGTCATGCAATGCCTGCGGAAGGCAGAAGAGGGTATTGGATCCGGTGGAACTGGAGTTACAGACAGTTGTTAGCTGCTATGTGGGTGCTGTGATTTGAAGCCAGGTCTTCTGCAAGAACAAACCACTGAGCCATCTATCCAGCCCCAAAGAAGATTTTGAATGATCTTTTTTTTTTTTTTTTTGGTCTTTTTGAGACAGGGTCTGCTGGCCTGGATTCACTATGGAGACCAGGCTGGCCTCGAACTCACAGAGATAGCTTGCCTCTGCCTCCCAAGTGCTGGGATTAAAGGTGTGCGCCACCATGCCTGGCCCATCTGTTATATAATTTCTAAAAGGAATGAAACTACAGCTACCACAGGAGTATCATCACAACAAAAAACAATTGTTTTGGTGAAATGGCAATTTTCGGAGGAATTAAATATTTAGGCTTCTATTTTTAAGTAAACTGGAACACATACTGAGGACAGCTCAGATTCTTTAACACTACTTTAATTACTAACACCAACTCAATAAAAATACTGATATATATTTAAAGTGTACTTTATCTAATAAAGTAGATGCTTTATTTATTTTTGAGCTTCAAATATTTTTTGATTTTTTTTTGTGTATTTCATACAGAACATCCCAAACAATCTTATTATCTTTATACCCACATCCCAAATGGCAACCTCCCATACCCCACCCCCAAAACTGGAACCCATATACTCTGTCATCCCTGTTACTGTCCACTGTGTTGTCAGTGCCCCTAGCCATTCCCCAGTGAAAGAAATACACACTACATGTATTTAGCCTATGAGTTAACTTTGTTTTTCTAATCAATAAATCTAAACCACAGCCCAAAACATTTCCACCCAAATTATTTTTCCACTTAGAAAACAATATTACCTCTGAATCCTATATTTTCAGGTGAACCTTTGTATCAGAGAAGGCCCCTCACTTTAAGAACTAGGGAAGTTCTAGGAAGAGGTACCAGACCTACAAATGAGAATATTTTCATTTTTCTTTTATTTCTCTTTATGAAAATGCTGACGCTGAGGGCCCTTGAACTAACCTCACTGATAGTCTATATCTACTATTAGTCTGCTTCTTATTTGGCTACCATTTCCATTTTCCTGAATTCTCTTCCTTCTTTCTCTTTTCCTATTTCTCAATTTGCATAAGGGCAGAGGTGGTTTTAAAAAACAGTGTTGGCTTTAATCCCAGCATTTGGGAAGCAGAAGCAGGTGGTTCACTGTGAAATCAAGGCTAACCCTGTCTACACAGTGAGTTCCAGGCCTGCTGGGGCTACAGGGAGACCCTGTCTCAAAACAAAGCAAAATACAACACAGTATCAGTGAGCCATTCATGTTGCCACTTCCAGTTTATTTCCCATTGGAGCTACTGTTTTGAGAGGCCTTTCTCATTCTAGGTTTAGCTGACCTGGAAGTAATTTATCCTAGGAGACCAAAGAAATCACCAAACTTTATTATAGTTTAAGAAAGCCAAATATAGGCTGGAGAGATGGCTCAGTGGTTCAGAGCATTAGCTGCTCTTTCAGAGGACACAGGTTCAGTTTCTAACACCCACACAGCAGCTATCTTTAACTCCAGTTCCAGGGGATCTGATGTCCTCTTCTAACCTCTGCCCCTTACTTGGCTTTTTAAGAATATTTTTTATTGGGCTGGAGGATGGCTCAACAGTTAAGAGTACTTGCTGTTTTTCCACAGGACCTGGGTTTGGTTCTCAGCACCCATATGATGGCTTAATCTGAAACTCCAGTTCTAAGGGATCTGATACCCTCTTCTGGGTGCCACAGGCTCTTCCTGAATGCATATGGTGTATACAAAGTCATGCAGGTACACACACACAGATAAAAAACAATACATTTTTTAAAAGCCAAATAAAATTTTAAGCTTCTATTTCTTCTTTTTTTTTTTTTTTTGGTCTTTTTGAGACAGGGTCTCCCTGTAGCCCCAGTTGGCCTGGAATGCAGAGATCCACCTGTCTCCCGAGTGCTGGGGCTAAAGGCATGTTTCTTTTTTTCTTTTTTTGGGGGGGGGTCTTTTTGAGATAGGGTCTCCCTGTAGCCCCAGCTGTCCTGGAACTCACTATGTAGACCAGGCTGGCCTTGAACTCACAGAGTTCAAGTGCTTTAATCCCGAGTGCTGGGATTAAAGGTGTGTACCACCACGCCTGGCTTCTTTTCTTTTTTTTAAATATTTTATTATTTTTATTTTCTGTGTAGGAGTGTATTGCCTGCATGTATGTGAGTGCACCCGTGTCTTGCAATGCCGCGGAGGTCAGAAGAGGGCTTCGGATTCCCCTGGAACTGGAGTTAAGGACGGTTCATAGCCACCATGTAGGTGCTGGGAATCGAGCCCAGGTCCTCTGCAAGAGCAGTCAGTGCTCTTAACCACTGAGCCATCTCTCCAGCCCCTGAGCTTCTATTTCTAACAGTAAGACACTGGAATGGGAACAGGAGATGTTTCCTGCCAGGGTATTCTTTTTTCCTAAGCCAACTTGGATTTTTTTTTCCCCTATCCATTAAGCAGCAGTGCTGGGCACCACATCTTTCCAAATAACTTATCTGGTTCCAGGAAATAAAACTGTGTTTTAGCAGGATTCATTTTATATTAAACCAAAATGGGTTTGCTGTTTTCATGTAAAAATGTAAGAAATACTTGCTATTGTTTTCTCTCGTTCTTCACCGCTTTTCTTCTTTTTTGCTCGTACCTATAAAGTTGAAATTTTTGTAGAGAAGACAAATGTAATTTATACTCAATGCATTTTTATTTTAGGTTCTAATATATCTTGCATATTCAAACGTTAGATGTAAAAATGCTGATAATAAAATTACACATTACTGACTCCTGTTAAGTATCAATGTTTCAATTTAAAATGCTTGTAAAACTTCTGAGTATCTCTAAGAGCTGCTCTTGCACTGTCTTTCAGCCCTAAAACAAGCAGCATGAACTGTGGAAGGATCATGAGCTCTAAAATAACAGACCAGGATCTGAATTCCAGCTCCAGTTTTGTCTCCTATAAAAAGCAATTGGCAGTGCCTGGAGTACAGTAGATATTTCTTTTATTCTATACTGTAAAAAAAAAAAAAAAAAAAATGCGAGCTACATATTGTATTCAATAAAAAGCAATTGCTTAAAATCCTCGTGACTAATAATAATTATATCATTTACATTTTATTTTGACCTTTAGATGTGTGGTAAACTGAATTTAAATTAAATTGAAAGTAGCTAAAGCTCCTGTATATTAAATGTTAATCCAAATGTAAGATTTTTATGTTAGGCTTTACTTATTATATACTGGATAAACATTAAATATAAGTACTAGAATATAAAAACTGCCAAAAAATAGAGGCTAGAGAGATAGCTCAGTGGTTAAAAGCACTGGCTGTCTTTGCAGAGGACCTGGGTTTGGTTCCCAGCACCCACATGGCTGCTAAACAAGCATCCAAAACTCCAGTTCCAGGAAATCTGATGTCCTCTTCTGACCTCTGCAGGCACTGCACGATACGGCTGCACTTACGTACATGCAGGCAACACACGCATACACATAAAATAAATTAAAAAAAAGAAAAATTAAAAGAAAACCTGCCAAAATATTTAGTTAATTGTATGGTATGCCCAGCTAGGTAATTACGTATTAAATATGTGGCTTGAATATATAAAAAAGTGACTAAAATATAAGAGTAAGGATTAAAGAAACAGACTATAAGCATTATAATCTATTTGCTTGCAATGAGGTAACAGCTCTCTTCAGAGAGCACCTACGAAATTGTTTAGTTGTTCTTATTCCTGTCATTACAATGACTGAGAGTGACACAGCTACATCCACACTCAAACAGGCAGAGACAAAGCAGAGTCATGCAATGTTCACGACAGTTCTATTTTATATGGGTTTTTATTGTTTATTTGAAAATAAGGCATACTTAAAAAATATTTTTATGAGTTTTGCATGCACGTATATAAGCGCAGTACATGAGTGCAGTGCTTGCCAAGGCCAGAAAAGGGTGTGAGATTCCTTGCAAATGGCGTTAACAAACTGTTGTGAACCAACATGTGGGTACTGGAGAACAAATTGAGGTCTTCCTCAAGAGCAGCAAGTGCTTTTTTTTTGGGGGGGGTGTCTTTTTGAGACAGGGTCTCCCTGTAGCCCCAGCTGGCCTGAAACTCACTATGTAGACCAGGCTGGCCTTGAACTCACAGAGACCCACCTGCCTCTGCCTCCCAAGTGCTGGGACTACAGGCATGCGCCACCACACCCAGCACCAGCAGCAAGTGCTTTTAACTGCTGCACCATCTGTTCTAGAACCTTATATGGGTTTTGAGTAGCCTGCTGATAACTTATGCAATGACTATTTATGATATGCAAAATAAATTTATACTTTACATTTATATTACAGGAAGTAAATTTAAATACAAAGCTTTTTGTTTAGGATTTTAAGACAGAATGCATGCTCCAGGAACATCATAAATAGAGCAGAGATATATTTTATTTAATTCAAAGCTTTACTAAACTTTGTCCACCATTCTGGAGAGTGCCTTTGATGGCAACGCCACTGAACGGTTTCTGAATGCCCTTTGTAAGGTACTAGCTCTAGCCTGGATTATAAGATTTTATATCTTCTGATGTTATCACACTCAAGCACTTAGATATTGAAATACAATTTCATGAGATTACACATTATTATTTACTTTAATTCTTTATATTTGTTAGGGGACATTAATATAAACATTTTATAGCTAGTTTATTAGCCATGGATTTCATTTTAGAGAAGACATATAATACAAAATACTACTACAAAATGGGGTAACAATGTGACAGGTCTGAAGGCCATTATCACAGACCAAAAACTATGAGGTTAAAAAGGAGACAGGTAAGTCTATAGCGCAGCGCTCCGCGCCGGGACTCCCTAAGCCTCATTCATATTAGCCATATTTTAGAGAAGACATATAATACAAAATACTACTACAAAATGGGGTAACAATGTGACAGGTCTGAAGGCCATTATCACAGACCAAAAACTATGAGGTTAAAAAGGAGACAGGTAAGTCTAAAGTCTATAG